GAGTGATGATACTAGGTATATACATAGATAAGCAAACCCAGATCTGGTGGCAGAGTTGAGAAGTCAAGGTTTGACATTCCTTGAAAGAACATGTGATTCTCCCCGTTGAAAGCTTTAGCTTTGCGCTCATCCTCATCCTCTCGGACTCAACCCTTCAACTTAATAGCAGGAGCAGTGGAGCAACCATTAGATAGCTCTTGCTGTAATGTGACAACAATTGAATTGGGAGCACTCTTGAAAGTGAAATAAGATAACCATTGATCACTTTTATCGTCTTGATTCTTTGAAGATTTTGTTGAAAATAGTTGAGCAAAGTGCTTATAGGTCAAGAAGTGTCCAAAAGTGTTGATCTAACTGGCAAAGTCAATTGAGTGGAGGTTAACCTTGACACATAAAGAAAGATCAATGAGTCAAAATGATTGCTTCTCAGCTTACCTGTAAAGTTCATTTTATATTGTCAACATTAATCTTCTGGATCCATTTCTTGGGAAGTGCCTCAAGCTAAAACCACCGTCATCTCAGTGGCGAGTGTGGTGAACCGTATGACATTGGCGGGGGTATGGTGAATTGGTTGAGTTAATTTCACCACCCTGTCCTAAGTCTGTCTTGTAGATGGCAAAAGGTGGCGACAGGTGAATGAGGGAGTTGTGTAGGTTGTATAAAACCGTTTATTTTATGGGTTTATACTGCGCTGACAGTCAGGGCCCTCCCAAGGGCCGCGATCTCTGAAACAACCTGTAAGGCAGACATTGTCAATCTGTTCATACTCAGGTTGTGGGCGCGCTTGTATTTTTGTCGGCGCGCTGAGGCGCGTTTTTTTCGGGTTTTTTGCGCCTAGGCGCCACTTGGCACGCCGGGTTTGTTTTCTTACAAAAAAATCCCTGAAACCCAAAAAGTCGCTTTTGTATTGTTATTTGTTCTATGTGTGTTTTACTAGAGCTGTCTACTACCACAAAATTGCCCTTTTAAGGTGAGAAAAGCTGTTGTAAAAGCTTGCAGCAAGTGTCTGAATCTCCAATATTGGTGACAGGACATAGAAATCCTACGATTTGGCGTAATTCTTGAAAAGGCGTGCCAACCCTCATTTTGTTGATTTTTCAAATGCCTGGGCGCGCCCACAAATTGGCACACCAAAGGTGCGTTATTTGCGCCGCGCCCACAACCTGAGTTCATACACAAGTAGACTCTTGCAAAGTGTACACCTGCAAGGCTGACAGCAATCAAACAGGCCTTCAGCTACCTTGTGCCTGGCTCAACCATTGGCACACTACATACTGCCAGCTTTGGATAGGTTCCCAGGTGGGAAAGTGACTTAGGCTGGGAACATGATTGAGGGTAGAATGTGTCATGAAATCATCTTGGACTCTACTGATCCATAAAGCATATGCTACATATGTGCAAACATCTGAGTAAATTGTTAGCTATCAGCTACATACAGATTTGCTTAGATATCTGTTCATCTGGATAAGAAAATCACATGTAATACATGCTGTATTTTTGTTCAGAATGGGACAAGCATTTTCAAAAATTGACTACATACATCACAATGGCTACTTGAGAAATATTCCTGAAGCTGTGTAATAGTGAAAGAAGCTGTTTAAAAGTAACAGAAGGGGAATCTGGTCCCTAGGACCCAAATCCCCATTTGGGAACCTCCTTGATGCTGGCAGTGAAAAGTTTATATAAAAGGTCACTCTTGAAACTTGGAATCCTCAGATAACTTGTGCTTTCCTCAACTATTGGCACACTAATGTATCAATAGTTAGCAAATACATACATTTAGGGGATACAAAGTTAAAACTGGGAGTTTTTTCCCAGACTCCCAGTTTCCCAAATACAGACAAAAACACAAACTGGGAAACTGGGAGAATGTGGGAAAGTTCCAAACACAGCCAAAAACAAAAACTGGGAAACTGGGAAAAAAATCCCAGTTTCAACTTTGTATCCCAAAATTATATCACAGTCCAGATTTTGTCCACATTCCCATGATTTGATAACAAGTTACCAACTGCTAGAAGTCTTTGATTGTGGCTACACCTTTAATGGCATCAACACATCTTTGATAGAAAGCACAAAAATGCTGCCCAAAGGTAATTCTTTGGATCTTGCTGGATCCAGGTTTTTGGACGCACATTGAGCCTCATATGCAAAAAGGCATCTCCATATTACCGGCCATCAATGAACTGTCCCACAAGGAATTCAAGTGATGTAGCATGTGAGTGCAAGTATGTACATAACATCGAGCCCTTCTAAAGCTGTACTTGTATAAAGCCTTAATGCGGCTGTAGCCATGGTTGTTTGGTTCTCCCAAGTTGAGCCGGGCCAAAAAGTGGTAAAATCCCATAGTTTAACCTATTGCAGTAACCAATCCCCAGAGTTCAAAAAAACCTCTTTTCAAATAAAGCCATAGAAAACTAGTCAGCAGTGAGTTAGGAATGCTGAGAATCTTTTGCTCCTGGGTATCCTCCCACAAATTTGATACAGACCTTGAACACTCAAGAAGATGCTTCACCACCACCAGAGCACTATGGCATAGCGCCCATAGTGTTTGATCCAGCAAATCCACCTTACATCACACAAATTGGGAATTGTATCTATGTTGCAGTGTCTTCCTGCTTGGCCTTGAAGTTTCCAAACAGCATCACCACAGACAAGTACCTTCTGGACCGGCTTGAAGCTGCTTAACAATCCTCAAGGACAAAATTCTAAAACAATATGCCTAATAAACCAGAATCTTGAAGCTGGAAAGGAAGTATCACTGTCTGACATTGAATGGACAGATGATATCGGTTTAACCAGTGAACAAGTCCTGATAGATATGATCTTGGAGATGAGGAGGGCAAGCTCTCAAAGCTCAACAATTTGAGTTTCAAGCATTCAACACCATAACCAAGAAAGCAAAAAGAATACAAGGCACTAAAGATTTGAAGAAGACAAAGAAAAGGTGCCTTGTTCAGCCTACTTTGTCAAGCAAAAAGTGCTTCAAAGATTCAAGGATCATGTGGAAAACCAAGCTTCACACCATCAATATCTTGACTGCCATGCACATTGCTAAGCTTGCATTGTCATTGGTCAGTTCTGCAAGCATCAACAATTGTTGGTATCATACATTGATCATGGAGTTTGGCAATGGAATCACACAGATGTATGTGATATTTTTCTTCTTTCATTGTGAATTAAATCTAACTTGTATTTTGAATATACATAGCTTTGATGAAGGTGTGACTCTTTGAGCGCTTTTTCCAAATGTTGATGTTGAGGCCGGCCCACAAGCACTCCGGAATGCAGGAATTGTTGGTTCAGCTAACAAAATGTTGATTTCTGAGCTTTTGAATCCGCCAGACAAGAATCAAGAGCCTATTTCAGCAACAGCCACGGAATGGTTTCAGGCACAGAATAAGATAGAATTCAAGGCTGCTCAGATGGAGGTGGATGACCCAGTGATACCTCCAACAACTCCTGAAGCTTTAAAGGCAATCTCTTTACTTATTGACTTCCTCAAAAGTATGGATATTCCCAAAGCAACAGCTGTTGACCCCTTTCTTCCTGCTCTTGAAAGCGCATTGACCAGCCAGACCCTTTTTGCTAACATAATTCAGCCCTCAATCACTTCTTTCTTTAGTAGAAACTAAACAACTTTTGTGATGTAGTTACAAATTCAAATATATTCTTTTTCATAAAATACTTAACAGAGCAAATATTGGAAACTTTGATAGCAAGTGAGACTTTTTCAACAAGGTCAGCTGAGAGCCCAACCCAATACATGAAGACATTTCCTCTGGCTATAGAGGGGTTCCCCAACCAAGACATAACCCCTCTATAGCCATATAATTTCCTGTCTACGGAGGGGTATGGCTTTAGAGGGGTTTGACTGTACATCATCATTCTTATCCGCTGTCTTGATCTGCATTCTGCGTGTGACTTGCCTCATGTACGTCATAACCTCTTCTTAGCTCTGCTTTTGTCTTCATTCAAGAATTTTGGCTCTTAAGCCTACATTTATCTCTACTACCTTATCATATTCCTGGTACAACTAGAGTTGAAGAATAGGCTGGCATAAATTCTCTAAGTTGAGCTGCGCTATCAAATGCACACCTCCTATTTGTGTACTGAAACAATCAGAGAAGAAAAAGTATTTATGTAATGCTCAGCTGCTGATGGCAAGCAAATTGAATTTTTGCAAAGTTGAGTGACGTTGGGCAATTAAATTTTATGACTTTTCCTCTAAACATCATGTACTCCCAAATAAGTCAAGAACCTCACCCCAATCTCTTGTGCATCTTTATTAATTGTGATCATTTACGCCTGGTATGAGATGGCGAAAAATCGAATGTGATGATTTCGACACAGCACAATATTTACGCTTGGCAACTCAACTTCTGAAGTACATAACGCCTTGCCAAATACAGACCACCTGCGACCAAGCAGACATGTGTTTGGCCATCGAGAACCTTGCTTGTTTTTTGACTAGGATGACACGATATGAGAGACAGGTAAAGGATGGTGTGGCGCGAGTGATTGGAACTGCTCTCGGACGCAATCAGGTGCCTGCTCTCTCTCTCTTGAATCTGAACCCTTCTGGTTCTTGCCTTAAATGGCATTAAAATAGATGAAGTTAAATTTCATGCTAGGCTGAGATATACATAATCTGATACGCAGCTACAGGGTAGTTGAATTTGGATTGCATGTTGATGGAGATCCAATGAATGAAAATGCTGTGTATGAGTGATCAACGATCGGGAGAGGTAAATCAGCGTAAATCCGAGGCTGAGTGGGGTTGAATGGATCAGAATGACGATTAGGTTGAGTGAAGCATATAAAGTTGTACAACTACATACATTTGACGATTTTAAAAGACTTTATGGTTTGAGACTGATAGAAACACATCATAGTTCACCCCACTCTTCTATCCTGAGTTCTTCTCATATTTTTACTACTAATCTTTGACATTTGAGATCTCAATAATCTGATTTAAAAGCAGAGAAGAACAGATAGTAAGCATGCCTAAGGAACCTAGTCAAAAACCAAAACAAACCAGAAAGCGAATTCCGAGGACATGTGCTCAGGTGATCGAATTCGAAACAAACCAACTTGATCTTTGTCTTGATACATACTCATCGTGCTTTCTCTTTACCATCATGATCTGATCAAACCTTGATTACCGAAACAGTGCAGGTCAGAAGTCGATCTGTTTAATCCTTATCCTGGGATTCATCTCTGAACTAATCTACGGTTTGTTCTGGTTTTTTAGAAAGCGTAAACAAAAGTGTGATTCACTCAAACCGTGTGCGGTCTGCAAGCTGAGAGGTGAAGCCGACTTGTGCGATTATGAGGGTGCTCAGCCGACGTAGGTCAAGGAAGACACGACTGCAGTGTGGTATCCAATTTTGATGAGTGACTTGTTTGTTCAATTCCTACATACATAGTCGAGTACTCGACGATGATGACGTCACCAGCATGCCCATCTCTCCGGCAGAGATCAAAAGGCTCCGCGAACAGCTAGACGGTCTTGAAGCCCTCGTCAGTTCGGTCGTTCAAAAGAGGCCTGGGCTTGATCCTCTAGGTCCTGAAGCCGATAGTCCACGTGTCGATCTTGAAGGTTTGTCGTTTTTAGTAATCAAAAGAAACGATTTCCAGGCTTATGTTTGCCTCTCTTTTCCTTGATACAGAATACAATGTTGCAGCTACGCTCACCAGTATTATGGTCTCGCGTACCGTCCCTTCTGAAATTGGTCAAGACCCTCCTATAGTTGAAAAGGTATGTGTTCATGACAAGTCCACCGAATCTTTTGTCTACCTGAACAACCCATCAACTAATATCTGATCATAACTTGTCTTGTCATAGGTTCGACGGCACTGCCGAACAAGTACTAGCTCTCCGTCCACCTGGGCTCAGATTTCATACAATCCTGGCACACTATTGAGCTACTTCACTTCTCCTGCTTCTTCGGAACAGATCGCCGATCTTCAACGACAACTTCCCACATACGAACAAGCTCAGCATTTTCTAAAGATCTACGTCCATGAGTTTGCTTGGTATCATTCTTGTTTCAATCATCGTGCTTACGAAGCTGAGGCGCATAAATTGTATCATCATCGAGATCCGGAGGGTCATGACATTGATGACGGTCAAACTGCTTATCGACTCATAACTATGGCCACAACCTATGCTATTGCTAGAATGTCGATCATGAAACTCCCTTTCGAAAACTCCACTCAGTTGCAACTCCCAATAAGTTTGGTAGATCGGACAAATCTCTCCAAACGATGGCTTGATGCTAGCGTGGCATGTTTAAAATGCGCCGGTAAGTTTGGGAGAGTCATACTACTGATGTGATCTCAGATAGATAGTGACAATCGAGTTGTTCTTTTCCTTGGCTTTGCTTCTCAGACTTTGAAAGCAATCCCAAAATCGAGGCAGTAGTTTGTCTCATTATTATTCTTGAGGCCCTTTGGTTTGATGAGCGATTTGGCGGACTAGAAGACCTTGGTGCACTCTTCGAATTGAAGTGCAAGGCCATGACTCTCGCCTTCGATCTCGCTCTTCACCGAGACCCAGCACATCGCGACCCAGGTAGAGGGTCGCAGTTGGAATCCGATAAAGCCCACGAACGCCGAGTGCTTTGGTGGGCGCTCATGTCAATTGACGGTCTTTACAGTGGTCCGGGTAGGATGTCGTCCATCAATGGCTTAGAAGCCGTTGACGTTTTCTTACCAGCATTGAGTAGCAATTCAAGTACCGAGGATAACCACGAAGGATGTCCATCTGGCTGCACGGCGTCAAACCCTTTGACTGGTGTTAAGCCAAGGCTGTTGATGGGATATGTTGGTCATGAAGTGAGTTTGACTAGTATCCAGTCTCTTTCTCATCGCTATTGAACATAGCACGTTCCTTTTACAGATTGATCGTTTGCCACTCCGACGAAACCCAATGCCTACCATCAACGACGTCTTACAAGCACATCGTGACCTGACATCTTTGGAAGCGCATCTGCATGAATCTCATAAGATCTTTTTCAATGGTCACACCGCTGATAGAAGTCGGCTTCCCAGGTGCAGTCGTGCGAGACGTGATGCCATATATTTCTGTAAGTCCCGTAGCTTGACTTATTTGTTCAAACAAGAAATACAGGGAAAAAGATTCAATGACTGATATATGCGTTGTAGATGCCAGATATCATTTCTTGGTTGTCAAATTGCATCGCCCGATGCATACCGTCAAGAGAGATGAAACGCAACCGTCAAGCCCGCCATTTGACATTGCTTATCATCGTAAATTTGTGGTGGATCATGCACGTATGTGAGAAGTTGATTAACTCAAGCACAGTAACATATTTAACCTGCTGCGATGGCCTCGTAGTCTTATTGCTGGACCTTCGAAGGATCAGCAAACCGAGTCCTGACTATCTTCACGGCAATATGATGGCGCTCTCGTGAGTATGTCTTGCAAATTACATTCTTGAAGAAGCACATGAAGGTCACGATGTAATAAGTGTGTTTTTGACCCTGATATCTCCAACAACCAACTCAGCGCTTCATTTTCTTTAGCATTAGATTATCTTTTTGATCCCCAAACCGAGGAGGCACCTTACATTAAAGACGAACTCGAACAATTTGTCGCCTTCCTTAGGCATTCGAGGAGTCCGCTCATTTTGAAGGGTTTGGATATTCTTCAATGTGTGATGGAAACTTGGGGAACTCCACCGCCACCGGGGACTACCTGGTTTGTGGCTTTTGAAGGACCAGTATCACCCACAAGCTGGATTCAGGGCCCTTTTCATCAAGTGAGTACACTGACAAATATGCGTCACATCTACCGGCTCTCGCAACAAAGACGAAGATGAATCGGATCGGGATCTGACATCCTCGCCTTCCCGTTCAATTCAGCCTCTCGATTTGAATTACTCCGGTCCGGCTGCGACAAATAATCTTGCTGGGTTTGGTAACGGTAATAACCCAGCCTTTGCTTCGTTGCGAGTGTTCCAAAACATAGAATTTCCAGAATCGCCACTACTTCCTCCACACAGTGCTCATCAGCTCTCTCAGTCATGGGCACAAGCTCAAGACTCAGCGGTCCAATCGCTCAATCTATCTAATCGAAAAGCCCCATCTTTAATTGATCAGGTCTCAAATGCACCTTCGACTTCTTCGATTGTCTCACATCATACATTGCCTGCCTCCTTATCACAATATCACTCACATTCTGTTGATCAATGTAGTCCATCAGGATCTACTATCAGTCTTCCTCACTCACACCAACGTCAACAGCTTCACCGTTATTCACTACCCTCCCATTCTCTTGATCATGAACCTCAAAGTCCACATAGTCGATTTTTTCCTACTCAAGGATCTAATAATGATCATCCTGCCTTCAATCAACAATTCAATCAAGCTCAAGTCATGTCTCATAACAAAATCCATCCACAACAACGTACTCAACATCAAAGCTTTTCTCATCCTACTCAAACTTTTTCTTCATTACAAAACCCAGATCCAGCTTACAATCAACTTTCCTCTTGGCCTGGTACGTGTTTTGAACATTTGAAGTCTGTTACATTGCCGTGAATTAATTCTGATTGTAATTTCTGGTCAGAACGATGAACAAATCGTGTAAGCATTTTCAGTTGTAAACATCAACAAAAATGTTATACGGCTATATATATAATGATTCTTGTTCATGATAAAGACTTTCAACTTGAATGAATTTCTAAAATAATCTTATATTGTAGAGAAAGGACAAAGACTATTAACGATCGTTCAAAATAAAACCATCCAAATCACTCAAAAAGATTTTCTGTTGTTGTACTGCTACGAATCCTGAGCTAATTCTCTTTCATTTTAGCTTTCTGTTATACAATCTTATATTTCTGTGGACAATGAATGTTAAAGAAACATCGTCATCATTGTTGCTTAGGGTCTGAGGGATTTACTTGGCTATTATGTAATTCTTTTTGATTGAATTTGAACATTCTATTTGTTTTGTGTCGATAGTAGCTCTGATTAATTTTGAGCACGTAATGAGAGTTGCTTATTTGGGAAATGAAAAAAGAACGATTTTGATTTGAGATTGAAAGATTTGATTTGAATTGTTTACCTTTGTTTTCTCCCAAATGAAAGATGACGTGAAAAAAACATAAACAAGATAGGATTGTTTTTTCTTTGTCAACTTGAGATCAAATCCCAAATCTCATGTTTGGGAATCTGGCAGTGCCACTACATATAAAGTCATGGGTTCTTTAGATTTGAAAAAAAATATCTTGGAATAAGTATTATGAGATTGAGCTCTTTGGTCTCTAGTTTCCAGAAAGACATACACAAGGATTCAAGTAAGTTGTGAAAAGTTTGTCAATCTGAGGATGCAGAAGGTCATCATGATAGCTTGATGATGAAGTTTGATCTCATTGACTGCTCTCCAAGATGACTTGCATGAATTTGTATCAACTCACAAGTCACAAGTTGTTAATTTTGACTTGAAGAAATCATGAAGTTGATGAATTGCTTTTACATAATAGATTGAGTATGAGGATATCCATGCTTATTCATGTCATCAAATGAATTACAAAGATCATAATCTAGATCAAGGAGTGGTTGATCATGAAGGGGTTTCATTGATGAGTGAGATATGATAAATATGACTATACCGTTGCTAATGTTATGAGTGACACTTTGGGATCTGCACGATATGAGACTGTCACAAGTTGGAATGTGATTCAAGTTTAGCTTAAGATCTACTGGTAGATATCCTAGACTACGTACGTAGGCAGCTCGCCTTTTTGTTTAATTTGAAATGTTGCAAGTACAAAGACTTTTCTCGTCCAAGCTTCAGCCCCTTTTTGTAAGCCCTTTTGGATTAAATTGAATTTGAAATTCGAATTTAAACTTAGAAATAAAAATAAAAATATACTATAAAGTTCAACTTGTAACTGGTTCAAGTTCATCATCCTTGTCCTCAAACTTCATTGATACTCTATATCCATCTTACTCTCAACCATTTCAATCTCAACTCTTAACAAATTCAAACCATTCCAACAAACCAATCAAACAATCAACCAGAAACATCCAAACAGAATGACTAATCACACTTCATACTCAAGATTAAATTCGACGACTCAAACCTTTCCACCTTCACATCAATCAGAACAAGAAGAAGAATTAGATGCAACCTTTGATGATTCAGATCATATCTCAAACTATGATTCATCAGAACGAGATCATTTATTCATTTCAATTGAAGATTCCTTAACGCCTTCTTCCAGAGGTGAAGGCACTTCTCATCATCCTATCAATCCTGGCTCTTTACCTGGTTCATATGATTTCGAACGTGATCCGTTTCAACCTAATCATCCTCCAACCTCTAGTACTGATGATACATTACCTAAACCTAGATTGATGGGTCAAGGTAATGATGGAGTGTTTGCAAACTTGAGTGCTAAACCTACTACGACTCATACTGATCCTACGTCGCTTAATGGATCCGGTGGTAGTGATAAAGATGAAGCTTTACCAACTTATGATGCTGCTGCTCTGGATTCTTCTCCTCCTTATTGGGAAACCACTGTGACTTTACCGGGTGGGATGGGATCTTATGGTATCTTGGGACCTGATGATGTTTTGGTAGATGGTCTTGCTGTGGGAAACCTTTTTGGATTCGCTTGGAATTTATTGGTGTCTATGAGTTTTCAATTTATCGGTTCGTTCTCGATTCATCTCATCTTCATTTCCACTACTATCCTTTGCTAACTAACCGATCTTTGAACCTTAATAGGCTTCTTACTCACTTATCTACTTCATACAACACATGCGGCCAAGAACGGATCAAGAGCAGGTTTAGGAATCACTTTAATCCAATATGGACTCTATAGTCGTACAAGATCAAATGAAAACCCATCGAATTCATTCACAGCCGAAGAATTGTCTAAAACGAATGGAACTCTGAATGGATTAGATGCTAATTGGGGATTTGGTGGACCTGATTGGGATGGATCGACTTCTTCTTTACATCAACAAGCTACTGTTGAAGGTCAAGTTCATATTTCTTCAATGGCTAATGAATGGTTAAGTTATGTTTTGATTGCGATTGGTTGGTTCTTATTGTTAGGAGGTTTGGTGAATTATTGGAGAGCTGTAAGTGTTTGTTTTTGAATGTTGAACTGTATCTTTAACATGTTCTTTGTTCTCTTTTGCTTATTACGTTGCTGATGTTTATTTGTTTGATACCATAGGTTCGATGGGCTAGAGCTGTTAGAACTGATGATGTGATTGCTGGTGCAATGGCTTAATGAGGGATCCTAGATACATGTATATTTGTAAAATGATGATTGGGTTGAAAGAAAGTAAGAGAACAGAGAACTTCAATTCAAAACCTAAAGGATGAGTGAGTCTTCTGAAAGATGATTCAAATTAATCATATCCATGTTTTGTTTGTGGTTTTTTCTTTGATTTAATCTTTGTCGATGTTGGATATATTGATCTTGTTTGAAAGATTTCGAATTCAAATTTTGAATGAGATGAAATCGATTGAAAAAGATATGGAAAAAAAGAGAAAATCAGAAAATGAGGAAGAAAATGAAATTTTAATAAGAGATTTTTTTTTTGTTGGTTTTTTGTTGTATGGTTTATTAATTTTCTTAATACTACACTTGTTTTTAAATCTTTACTCTTTTTTTTTTATTATGACCAAAGAAGAAAAAAAAAATTCAAATCGGTTTTATATGTTGTTATATTTTATATTTTATAAGAAGAAGAAATCTTTTTATCCTTGTTTAATTTTTTTTTTCCAGAAATCAATCGTCATGTCTCTTCTGTTTGAATACCTTTTTTTTCATTTGTGTTTTTTTCCCTATTTACTATTTTTTTCTTTCTCTTTACTTTCTTTTACTTTTTACTTTTACTTTTTCATGTTCCTTGTTTTAGTTTTTGATTTTTTTTTTCTATTCATTTTTGGTTTTGAAAGATTTTAAGGGGAAATATGAAAGTGATTTTATAAAAGAAGGAGATTATTTAGTGAGATGTTTCGAGTTGAGTGGTTTTCTTTTTTCGATTCTAGACTTCTCATACTTCATTCCTAGGAAAGACATCACCACAAAATGAGATCATCTTTAGGAATTTTGGTTGAATGTTGAAATCAAAATCAGGATAGACTCTCTTTCATTTGGTAAACTCATTTGGATGGAATACTTTGAGATGTCAGACTTCAGGCTTTCTTTGCATACACTTCTGGATCATTTTGAGTAAGATCAAGAAGACTCAAGTTGGAGAGATTTCAACTATTCGAGCAGGCTTCTGGATTGTTTGACCAAGATGTAAGGGTACGGGGATTTGCCAAGACCGGGGCTGACAAGTCTCCAACCCACGCACGAAACTATGTATATGCGCGTCAGTGACTTTTGATCGTTCGATTAAGATCTCAATTCATTGACATCTCTTCTTAAGGACCATCTTCGCCTCTTTGAAATCAAATCAAATCTATCTGTACCAAAAACCTCTTGACAAAACCCATGTCAGAGGTAAATCCCGTTGTCTTTCATAGGAGGTTGGGAAAACTATTGGATTTATGGAAAGTAAGTCGAATGAATGTCTATCCTCATAACACAAGATAACAACGATTGATGATGCATGTTAAATCCCAGAATGCAACTGAAGCTGACGCCGAAACCCTACCGCTTCTAACGACGGGAGGGATCTTACTGGTTTCTGGAAATACAGATGAGATTCCATATCCAAAGAGTTATGAATTACAAAAGTATCTATTCGGATCGATCTTCTCTTCGACTTTAATTTTCATCACGCTTGAAAATATTACTTTTCTCTGCTCGGAACAAAAGGCAGAAAGACTTCGAACTTTAGTATCAGACTCAAACATCGTCGGAGCAGCTGTTACGGTAAGCGTACTCGTCAGATCAAAGGAGCCTGGACAGTCTACAAAGCTATTGAAAGAAGTGGGTTTAGCTATGTCAAAGGTAGCTGAAGATGGTATGAAGCTGGGTTGTTTCACAAATGACAAACATGGAGGACATTTCGTGGTCAGTAATTCAACGTTATGGTGTCATCAGCTCACAAGTAGTGTGCAATCAGCTGATATTCATCTTGGCCTACCATACACAGGACGAGTGGAACACACACTTGAAGCAGAAGAAAAAACGACTTAAACAAATCAAAAAAGCCAATGACATTTCATTAGTCATTAGTGCGCTGATGGCAAGAAAGGATTCGGACGAGATGGTTTGTCTTTACTCTTCTAAATTTTGTTTGTAATCCAATTCTCATTAAACTTTTCTGTTTGTTACACAAAGCAAATTATGGAAATCGCAAGTAAGATGGCTGAAAAACTTATGAGATTACTTTTTCAACAACTTACAAATTCATTGGAAGATCAGAAGGAAATGTAAGTCTCACCTAGATCTTATGTATCTCATCCTTTTTTTTGGCTACGTTATCTAATATTCCATACTTGCATGTCCTAGAACTCCTGAACGGCTAACCGACATCATTGAGGCTAAACTCGAAGATTCCGATATATGGAAGGGTATGGATTTTGGCTTTAACGTGAGCCATGTTAGGTGCTCTGTGATGTCTTCATCAAAAACGTATGGCTGATATATGGATTATGTCTTCTCAGTTCGATACTGCGTACGCTAGCTGGATTTATACACCGATCATTCAATCCCAAGGCGTGTATGACCTTCGCACTTTGGTGCAGTCGACTGATGAACGACTCAATGATGCTCGGGTCATCTTGGCCAGCTTGGGTATTCGATACAAGAGATATTGCTCGAATATTTCTCGAGTGATATTGATTGATCCTCATCCGGTAACCGCAAACATTCACTTCTTTTATATCTATGAACCTATTATTCTGTTGTTGACTCTTGAATCATTGAGTATTAATAGACACAAGAATCGAATTATAATTATCTCATGGACCTTCAAAGATTTGCTCTACAAGAGTTGAAGGAGGGTGTCATCGTTAAAGAGTTCTACCAGACCATCTTCTCTAAGGTCTCTAGAGAGCGCCCAGATTTGGAATCGACTTTGCCAGAGTCATTTGGGTTTGGAGTAAGTGGAATCAGTTTTACCTTCAATGTAATGGACAAATGGGTTTTATTCATTGAAAATGTATCGAAATTGGTATATCGTGTAGATTGGAATCATATTCAAAGATCCATTTTTGAACCTGGACACAAGATGTGACAGGCGTTTAAAATCCGACATGATATTTTCTTTGGAAATGTCTTTTTCAAACATTCAAGATCCATTTGACTCCTCCAAGACTTACTCACTACAGCTAATTGACATGGTGGCTGTCAAAAACGAGACAGCCATCATTCTAAGCAATGGAATCATAGATTCAAAAGATTTCACTTTCCTTTTCAAAAACAAACAACAAGATGACATTGAAGGATTAAAAAACATCTCTCAATCTTCTGCTCAACCTGATAAACCTTCTGGCATTCCGCCCACAACATCAGCTGACACACATCCAGTCGAACATCCGATTAAAAAATCTGATCTCTCCCCACCCAAAGTGCTACCAGATGAAAATCTTGATCCAGACACTTCAATCAAGGACCAACCCCAACCATCGGATTCAAAGATCTCAAAGCATGAAAGAGACTCTGATGATGCCTTGGAACATCTTATTGAAGCAAAAAAACTCAAGGCGATTGCAATGTTAGAAGCAAATGATCAGATCATCATGTCCAGAAAACTTGAAGGTTTGGATGAAGATAGTCAAAAATGGTACATCTTAAAGAAAAGACAGATCTTGAAGAAATTAGAAGAAGAGATTGTGGAATGAGCAAGTCACCAGATAGGTTTGAAATGTCTTGGTGTTTTTATCTTTTGATTAATTTGTCTGTTATGTGTTTGAAAACCTTGTCTCTAACAATTGTGTTGTACCCTAGGAGATCCCAGGTTAGGCAAGTCCTTGCAATTCAAAATGTAGTTTTGTTGTATATTGTCTAATGATGACATAGATACAAGTACTTTTTGTTGATCAACAAAGTTCTCTTTGCTTCATCATATTCCTAACACCCTTGTCATCTCTCTCCTCAGGTTGGCTATTTGTGTCATTGATCAGATTTTTTATTTGTTTTTTGTCTTACAATTCAATACAAAAAGTGTCAGTTTTTGATTTGTATCCAGTGTGTATACAGGTGTATCAATGGATTGATGCAAATATGTGAGAACTTGACTGTCAGACTCAGTTTTGAGATTCTTGACAGTACAGTCAGAATCAGTTTTGAAATTGTTGAAAATACAGTCAGGTTTAGATGACATTTGCATGTCAAAATGAAACTAAGTGAAAAATGTGGCATGTTTGTTTGGATAAGCACACTACATGCAAGGTCTTCAGGTGTGGTGTCAAGGCAATGTGGGTCACTTTACACCGGTCCAAGGCATCATATCATATGGAATCCAATGCACCATTGTTTCAAAATACACACATATTTTGTTCAAAGTGCTCACTTTATGACATTGAGTATGGGCTACTATAATGTGGCTATCAAGAGCAAACAACTATGGATCTCTGCAGAAACAACCTTTTTCATGCAACAGAACTCAAGCAGAGACCAGTCCTCAATCAAGTATCAAAGCAGAAAAGTTGTGAAGGATCAAAACCTTGCTTCAAGAGACCCCACTCAGTGTTTGTTGCACAGCCAATGAAGGATTGACTCAAGTGGTTCTTTTCATTGATTGGAATCCAAGAAGCTATTGATTACTAGGCCAAGACGGTTGGCTCTTTTCCTATCAACAAAGTCTCAGACTATCAACCATCACCAGCTTAAAAATACTTCTTTTCAAAAGAGTCAAAGTCAAAAGATCTTGATGGCTCCCCACCCCCTCTTCACCTAGCTTTATCCTTATTCATCAATTTTATCAATCTTCTAGAAAATAAGATCTCAGGACAACAGGTTTCAATTGGAATAATTGAATGAACTGTATCAATCTTCCCTCTGAAATCTGCCAAACAACTCAGAATGATCCGTAGTGATCATCTCTGATGGGTACTTGTGTAGTTATTTCTTTCTTCAGTTATTATTCATCTCACATCAAGCATTAGTGTATCAAGGACTTCTGCTTGCTCTCAAAGTGGTCTTCATCTCACATCAAGCATTAGTGTATCAAGGACTTCTGCTTGCTCTCAAAGTGGTCTTACTTCATTTGGGACACTCAACAAATTAGTTCCTCAAGACTGAACCACACTTCAGTTGAACATTTTTATTAACCACCAGATTCTAAAAGCGGGTGGTCTCAGGTTTTATTTGCGGACACTTTTTAGTAGTTCCCATATCCCATTATTTATCACCCTGCTTTTGACTCCAAAATCCACATCAAAACACAATTTGTTTCTGTGACAAATACGTTACACCAAATATCTTCACCCTTTCTTTGACATCATACTGTTTGGTGTTCAAGTTAGGGTCTCCCTATTGTGCGGGGTCTTGCACCTTTAGGGGGTCAAAACAAATTTTTGGCTTTGCTGGGGAACAAAAGACACATAAATAGTGCTTGTGTTTCAACCAAGTTCTCACCCTAGACACATCCCTTGACCATTTTCCAGCGCTTCTAATTCCAAAACAACAGAAAAATGTGAGCACGTTTTGTCTTACCTCTTGACCTTTCTACCTTCCAAATCCTACCAAATAGCAAATTTTATGAAGTGTCTTGATTTCTTTTCCTTTTGCCCAATACTCAATTTGATCTCTTCTGCCTTTGCTTATCTCTTGGTTACCTTGTGTCATGAAAATGTTCACTACAATCATTCTGGCTGCCATGTTGGTGTATGCTGTTCAAGCTGCGCCCATTGCTTCTCCACAGATTGGCAAACCACACAATTTCCAAGCTCCCTATACACATGACTGCCAGTGAGCCCCACCATCACAGCATCAAGCATTGCATTTGCAATCAGATTGTAAGTTGTAACTCATTGCCAAAACTTGATTATCAGTTGTTACCAAGCCCTAATGCAAACCCAATGTGTTCAATTTCCCATCCGACTGCTCTCCCTTATGCACCCCTGACTCTTGCCCTACTACCCATTACAACTGCTAATCACTTTTGTTCCCCTGTTTTCTCCATGTCTCACTATCTACAATTTATTGATCTTCCCATATGGGTATTGTTCAATTCAATCTTGAGAATTGTGTTCCAATCACATCAAATCTTTTATTAATCTCCAGTCTGTTTTTTCACATTGTCTTGCAATCCTCTCCTCTTGTGATGTCTTGTATGTGAGATCTTGTTCTATGAAGTCAGATTTTGTCACTCCCAAAGATCCTGTTGGGGATATTTGAACAGATTTCCTTTACGTACTTTCCCAAATCCAATCATCTTGAATGTGCCATAGATTAGACAAGGTGCAAGTTTTTGTTTTGCTACAAAGATCGAACAAGCCCAAAAGAATTTGGTCACTAAACCTTGGCAGATTAATTCCCACTGATAATGTGAGGACGTGAAATAAACAAGCAATTTCAGTGACAAACTGTGAGAGGGATTTGAGTTAAGAGGAAGAAACATTTCTTGGCAAAACATTACAGTATATTATGCGCAAGAAAAGCGTAAACAAGTTTTGTCTTTGTTCCAGACAAGAATCTTTGGTAGGGAAAGGTGTACAGTGGGTACCATCAAAGCCCAACTACCCCGTTCCTGCAAAATTTAACTTGAACTTTGAGATGCTTGATACACACCTCACAATTACAGATACCTCATTTTTGAGTGCAATGGGGTCAGGTGACCTATCTCAATTTATTTCTATGAGGGCAGAGCCTCACAAGGCAATTTTGTTTCACTTCTGGGCCCATATTTCAAACTAAGCATATTACATACAACTGTATAGGAATTTATGATTATACATGGGCATGTTATGGGTTTCTACCCTACCTTGGTTGGCCTGGTCTGCTCAGTGCACAGCCATACAACATATCAAGGCTCAAGCCAGCTTGCCAAGGGATTGTACAATGTGATCCGTATCTTTTTACAAGCTTTTCAGCTTGTATACCAGTATAACCTTGCCTAAAGAGAAAGGAAATTAAATGACATGAGCCTTTAGAAACAATTCTGAAATATGATTGTAGCCCTTACCAATAAGTGGAATGTTGGCAATTGATCTTGTGGAAATGTCTTTGGATTGTCAATAGCGGACAAGAGTTTTGGGCAGACTCAAAGAGAGACTTTGACTCTTTAAAGTTCTTGCAGTTTATGCTTTCCTCACAAAAACCTGTCAAATAGAACATTGGATTGAGCATTGATGAATGGATGAAGTCAATATACATAGACTCAGAATATTTGATGAAAGACCAAAACAGCTTGATCGGATTCACTGTAAACATTATACACTATGGGTCAATAGATTTTTACACTCAACGAATTACACTCAATATTGAGTGTAAATTGGCTTGTATGTAAGAATCTATCTGCAGGGGTGTCAATTGCAATTTTACACTTTTTCAGTCCTTTTTTTTGCAGTGCAAACAAACATGTGTAAATAATTGAGTGTGAAAGTGTAAAGTACCAAGGGCAACTTACATTTTTGCACCCCAGATATTACACACAATATTGAGGGCAAAAAAACTCAAGTGCCAAAACCTGCAAGGGGGCCTAATCTCCAATTTTGCCCCCAATCTTCTGTTCACTCAAAGTTGGATGTAAATCCTTGCAGTGTAATTTTACAAAAGACCTCCTTCAAAGTTCAAATTTACATGCATGAACTTTTTCAGGGATAGACAGCCATCGACATATCCGACCGGCATCTGCACCCATATGTGTTAGTTTTAGTAAGGATTAGCACTGAGAAATGAAATATCTTATTTGTCATGTTGCTTCTGGTAGATCTGTTGATCTTAGTATTTGTATTTCCTCTTTGGATATTTGATTTTTCTCTTGCAGTTACATGTATGTCTCTTTTAACTCTTAGCAGTTCTTGTTTTGTCATTAAAAGAACCTATGAGTCTTCACAAGGGTTTGATCATCATGATTTCAAACCCTTTACTCCATCACTAAAGCAATCTTCTACTTACAATGTATTGCTTTAACCATGATTGACTCATAGGTAAGCTTTTCTCTTTTTGTGCAGTTTTTCTCTCATCATTATTTCTATTCCATTGTACATGCTATGTCTGTTGCTTTTGTGTTTGTGTTCTCAAAATAAAGATGCTTTCAAACCCTTTCCTCCATCACTAAAGCAATCCTTTACTTACGATGTATTGCTTTAACCGTGATTGACTCATAATATGCAGAAGGTTTCCAACCAGCATACCCCTGCCCTAACCTTCTTGCCGCCAAACGTTCAACATCAACACCATCTACCACAACATCCATCCCCTCAATGCCAACAAAAGAAGCTCCATCAACTGTCTTGTTTTCCTCCCAGATCCAACCTCATTGGCCACCCTCTCCCACATCTTTGATGCCATCTTGCGCTTATGTTACCTCATTCCTCTCAAAACACGTTTAGACTTGACACCTCTCTCAACCTAAGCAACACTGATGGAACTTACCATCCTGTGTTGAGTCCCAAGGACTTGCCTTGCTTTCCCCCAACCAACTTTTTGCTTATGCAACTACCACTCATCCTTTCACAAAATAGTCATTATATTTTGGTAGTATCAATATCATCAAACATATCACATTTATCAAATTTATTGGATTTGTCGACTCATTCAATCCCTCCAAATCAATAGTTTCCATCAACTCTATTGAATGTATAAATTCTACCAGTTCTATCTATCTGCTCAGTCTTGTTCTTTGTATCCAAGCTTCAATACCCCAAACCTCCCTATGTCTGAGATTTTCATTCTGATGTTCAAATCCGAATACACCAGCTCTTTCAATGGTCGCTTGTCCCCTGACCCTGTGGTTATCTTGGATCCCGCTCCTACCCAAGTGCTGACTTTGACTACACATGTCTCTCCCACGCCAACACCCCCAGCCAACAAGAAATCAAAACAACATAAGCCCAAAAAGAAGGGTAAAAAGTTCAAGACACCTGTTCCGGCTACCGGTGAACTTCAAAGATTCCTCGATTACCGCTGCACCATCAATTCTCAAGGATATCCCACTTATACAAACGGAGAAACAGTATTTGTTTGAGAACCAGGTGCCAATGTCGTTAACTTTGGACATATTCCTTTTACTCATACTCAGAAGTCTCATGGTTCAAAGAAGGGGGATTGGACAACAATATGGTACACATGTCTTGGTGTGTTACAAGGCAATGACAATTTCTGTGTCTGCACTGGGCCACCACCTACTGCCAATGGAAAAGCTGCCGAACATGTTGTACAGAAGTTTTTTTTGTTTTTCTTTCTGGCTTTTACCATGTCAATAGACTATTTATTTCCATAGGCACCCTGTCTGCCCTGCGGTTGAGTGTAGTGTTAACCACACATGGACACAATGTAAGGACACCTCCTGTCGAGTTGATATCAAGAAAATTGCGAGTTGGCTGAAAAGATGAGAGAATGCTGATATCAGCTAAGAAGAGATTACTATCTCTTATGACCGATGAGAGCAGTAGTTACCTGAGAGAATGCTGATATCAGCTAAGAAGAGATTACTATCTCTTATGACCAATGAGAGCAGTAGTTACCTGCTCGAATTGAAGGTAAAAATCGGTAAGAATATTATTAAAAGCCAACAAGCAACAACTAATGTAGAAAAGACAATAACCTGAGAGAATGCTGATATCAGCTAAGAAGAGATTACTATCTCTTATGACCGATGAGAGCAGTAGTTACCTGCTCGAATTGAAGGTAAAAATTGGTGAAGAGAGCAAGACAAAGTATAGACAACAGCACCAATTTATACCAAAGAAACGGTCAACAAGCATTACATCATATCTTAAACACACAGCAATGATATCATAGAATTAGTAAGATGATGATGTGATAGATATCAAATGAGAAATGAGTAAGAGAAGGATTAAATATAAGATGAGATAACCCCAAATAGTCATTACTTCAATTAAGAAGTCCACCGGTTGGGCAGTACTTTGGCACAACACAACCCACAACCATCCTTGGCCAGCTTCAAAAAAGGCCAATCCAATGGCTATGATGGAGCTCACCAAAGAGCTAGGGGAGAATCCAAAGGTGAGACCTTTGGTCTTCAAGGTTGGTTTATTTCATTTCATTGATGTACTACTACATTGGGACTAACACAATATGCTCGTTTCCCACATCAGGTTGGTCAGGCTGGAGCCAGACAAACTATTACGCCCCTGGTAGTCAACATCCACCCGGCCCTTTCCAATGGAGCTTGCCTAGGTTACCTACGACAAAAGTTCTTAGTTGAGAAGGGTCTGATGCTAGAACAGGAGAGCAAGGGAGGTGGTGATCAGTTGATAATGGACCTAATGCATTGGGGCAGGTATGTTGCTCACCTGAAATTCCCATACTTTTTAGAAACACTCATTGTTGATTTTGACATCCTCCTTGGCAAAGACATCCACATTACGTTTCAGACCAAGTGGATGGCTGACCAGCTTGTGTGGCATGACCAAAATGGTAAGGTCTATTTGGGTGGTATTCTCTCAGATGTCACCTATTGGTTCTTCTACAACAGATATCTCCTCACGACTTCAATGTACAGCAATGTGATGCACTGTTGAATCCCCATCCAACTGATCTGGATGTGGGGACTCAACATCAAACATTATCAATCTCATTTCACAATGCTTTTCAAACAAATCAATGATACTGAACTTACCTTTCACAAAAGAGACCTCTTATCACAACAAGTAGTGGATTTTTCAACGGCTCAGAAGAAAGGCGTCGTTGCACCCTACATGGATGTCTTCAACAAACACGACCCAGCTAAAGCCTTGGACAAGCTGAAGGGATGTCACAAACATTCAATATTCAGTTACTCAGGTGAAAAAGAATCGTAACATTGTTGATGCAAGTCAGGTGGTGAGTGACTGGCCATTGCTACAATGTCTTGTTCAATGCTCAAGACCGATGAGCATTATGTGGTGGGCCGGCCCTTCATAGAGCAACTTCAAAAAATTGGCATACAGTCTCCTCAAATCAAACAAACCGGGCGGTAGGACGTTACTGGATAAATTTGAAGAGATCTTTTTATTGAAGTCGCTGTTTTCTTATTTCTCTCTTTTCAATTATTTTCTCTCCTTCTATAACAATCGTCAACATCCTATTCATTCTCCTTTGGGTCTATAACTATTTGTTCTATGCTGTTCTTTTTCTCTCTTCTTGTTTCAGCTCCGTGACCACTCATCCCAATGCGGTGAATGATACTCACAACCACACTCGGATACTAAACCTATGTCTAGAAAGAATATTCACTATAAAGAGCCGTAGTTTGTGTGTCCTAGTTGTTTTCTTCACTCAAACTTCTCATCTCTTTACTTGTGCCACCTTTACGACAGGTGCCTTTTCTTTCTTTCTCACTTATTAGTGACTTCAGCCGCAGCGCTATACTTCATCACTAATATGTGACTGTTTACCAGGTTTGCCTAGTGTTCTGTGTCATCATTTATTGTAGTTTTCGTGCTCATGGAAATCTTATACTCAAACTTCTCATCTCTTCACTTGTAACACCTTTACAACAGGTGCCTTTTCTTTCTTGCTCACTTATTAGTGACTTCAGCCGCAGTGCTATACTTCATCACTAATACGTGACTCTTTACCAGGTGCCTTTTCTTTCTTGCTCACTTATTAGTGACTTCATCCGCAGTGCTATACTTCATCACTAATATGTGACTCTTTACCAGTCACCTGGCCTTCCTTACTTTATTACTTTTGCCTTTTTCCTAGAAGCAAAGCGTGGCTCAACTGGTGGAACACCACCGACATCCACTTGATCATATTTTGTGCTTGCAAACGCCTACCACTTGGCAACCCCCCCTACCCGACGAATCCCTCATTGATGTGCCGGACATGACAAATGGGCAAGAGTCGATGAATCAACAAGACTACATATTAACGTAAGTGTTGCCAAAATTGATACCAAAAACCTTGAATTGAAATGGTGACTGACTGACACAACACATGTCCCTGTAGGTCCGGCCATTGTATGATCATCCAAGGGTTTGTACAACTGTCATTGTTTGTCAGATCACTCAATTGGGACTATGACCAGCTCCAACAAGGGATCCCGGTGAAATATGGGACCAACTGGGAATCTGTTGTTGAAACCCTGGGTTGGTCCAAAGAACGCACACTTTGTTGAACTGAAGTGAACAATGGACGGCCTCCTGATACAACCAATGGCCTTCTATGTCCCAAGTAGGTTGGACGTCCTGTGGGATCTTTGAATGTCAATTGAGACAGACACTTGTCTTATCAAGCGTACTCATTGAGCAGCCAACTGGGAAAGCAGAACCAATTTAATTTGCCCAGGTAGTACCATCCTTTGTAATAAGGTGGTTGTCTATGAAGTCCATTCTTGACTACTTGTTGAGGTGAGGGAAAAGTTTAATGATTGTCTCTAAAGTAATTGCAGTCCTCTTTGGTCAAATCCCGCATCCTATCTGGCTTTGAGAAATCATATTCAAAGGTAGAACCACTCAATTGAGTTTCAACAAGTTCATGATCCAGAATATAAGCAATAGTAATCTTTATAAATCCAGTTGTCTTTGGTGTCTTTGATTCTGATCCTTTCTTTATCTTGGATCTTTCGATTGCTCTATCTTCAGAGCTGGGGGGATAAGGAACCACGGGCTTTTGATGATTGTTGATCTGCAGTTGATGTTGACAAGATTGAAGTTCATGAGCCTGAGCAATTGCTCTTTGAACACTATTCTCAACTTGCATTACATAATGAGCTGATGAAGGTGTAGCTGCATTAAGAGGTACTGATAAGTGAGAGCTTGAGGGAAGTGAAGAGCGAGAACTTGAGAGTATTGGAAATTGAGTGTTTGAAGTAACAGCTCTTTGCAATGGTGAGGCAAAGAGAGGTCAAGAACCGAAAGGAATCAAATTTAACAACAACATTTTGCCTGGCAATTTGATCAGTGGCCCCGGGGTTTGAGGGGGATTAATAAGTCCAACTGCCTTTGGAAACGTTTTGCATTGACCACACAACTGAGTCTTGAGGGCCTCAAATTGGGCTGAGCAGATAAGACAGGGTACCATCATGTTGACTTTGTTTGGGTTATCCTTGCTCCATTGACATGGGTCCCAGATCACTTGAGTTCTCTCTTGACCTGGGTAATCTTCACCACAAAAACAACATAGAGGTGAATCAAGATTGGGATTGGGTACCATAATGAAGAGTAAAACAACAATGATCAATCAAGCTAGTGAGAAAATCTAGTGGAACAGGAAATAAGATCCCAGTGGATAACACTTTGGAGATTTAGACTTGTAGTTGAACCAGATGGTCTGTGCAAGAATCTCCACATAGATGGCTTGTCCACAAATGGAAAGGAACTCAAGTGTGTATAGCACTTGTGGGGGTCAATAGCAACAAGTATTATCATGTATCATTATTCATACTTCTAGTTTACTTCATTAAATATATAGAGTAAAAGAAAGATGATGAGTAAAAGAATAAGCAAGTACTCAATAATTACAACTGGTCTCTTAGCTTTTAAGTTAATCTGTTAAGCTTTCATTTGTGAAAAGCTGTGAAGACATTATCACCAACATTATGAGGTTGGGGTGATGATGACAATCAGGAGTGTCTGAAGCTGTCTGAAGCTTTGAACAACTTCATTGGAAAGAATGATGAGGGTGGAGGGAGTTGTTCATTGAGCTGTACAGGCTGTACAGTCTGTATCCGGGTTTGAGGTTTGTCCTCCACCCTCCTCTCTTGTTCATTGTACTATGTAGCAATACAGGTGCTAAATTGCAGCGCAAGATGGTGCTATATTGCCTTGCTGTCCCTAGGGCAAAAAACACCAGTATATAGTGGAGCGGAGCGCTTGAAATTATAGTGGTGGTGCACTACACTACCAAATTTAGGGAATAAATTGGTGGACAAGCTTGGTGTACCCCCCATCCCCCACAACTAGTTCTCCTTCAATCATACAAGTCCTACTGGATGCCAATGAATCTAGAATATCTTACAGCGGAGGATGACATGGATCCCTTGGATTCCCCTCTATACACTCAAGTCAACCTTGCTGACTCTTTGGATGGTGAAGCATGTGACACCAAACTTGTCAACAAGGCTTTATTATCTGTGTTCAATTTCTCTTTCTCGAATCAACCAACTCTTTGCAAACACAAAACCAAGACCAGTCAGATTCTCAAAGGCTACAAACAGACTTATGTTCAACCTAAATTGAATAAGCTGGCACCACCCAAAATACCAAAGGGAACCAAAAGACAATACAGATTGTACCAAGGGAACGCCACTGGCAAGTCTAGCATATGTTTGGACAACCAGGTCCAGCTCCCAATCTTAATCCTGATCCCCCTCCCTTTTCACCTAAAATCAAAACTTATGAAAACTATGAAGACTTGGGAGATCATGAATACTCTGATGAATACTCTGACTTATCTGATATATACAATGAACTCTCTGATAACAAGGCCAACAACTCTTCTGCTGTGATTGTATCCAATGCTTGGATTGATGAATGTGTCAATTGATACCAATCCAGCAACATCAAGAGCTCAATCCCTCAAGAGATCAACAAGATGGAAATCAGGCGGAGGGCTTCAGGCTCAAGGATGGCTTGGGTTTAGCACAGCTCAGCTTGTGGGCACATCAATACAAAGAATCAGTCATACAATTCATTTCACAGTCTATTTATTTTATTCAATCATCTAATTACAAATTTAAATATGATCAAGTGAATACTTATTATTTGCTAGTCAATTCTGGTCATTCCTGCTCTAGGCCTTGGAGGTTTTTGTGAGTTGTTGTGGTCACTAGATCACAACTGTATCACAATGTTTAAATGTATTGTTTTGAGCATGGCCTGCAATTATACCTGAAATGTGCCGTCTAAAAATTATCAAAAAAGGAAAAAACTCAGAATCAGTACATCTTTAAACAAAGGTTGATTGTGAATTTAAAGCTTGCAGCCATCATTAAATAATCACATTGATCAGCAGCATTTTTTTTGATCTAGCATAATCCCAATCACGTGGATAAGCCAAAGTACCAGAATCCAAAAGTTTAGGTTTATATACTTTCACAGTTTTTTCTAAATGATGATAATCCATGAATTTACTTGAGGATCAATATCATAAGTAAATGATTGAAAAGAAATTGATGAAGCTCTTTTTTGTTTCGCATTATAAAATCCATGAGTTAAATGACCACCGTCTGGTAAATTTAAACCCATGATTCGATCCTGTGGTTCAATTAAAGTTATCAAAACTGCAAGACTATTCAGACAAATAAGAAAACAAATTTGACCAATGGATTCTTTCGAAGATGAATTATGATCGATCGAATGAGATGGAAAGATTTACTTAAGAGTACTACCAGAATCAGGTTGAACGATTCGACCCCAAACTTTATGATCAAGTCTAAAAGCTTATAAAGCTCCGTTTTGAGATAAGATTTCTAATTGATCTATAAATCCATTTCCACCACAGTATCTTCCATTTGGAAACCTTCTGAATATCGATTTTAAACTCCATCCATTGGCTTCCATAACTGCTAAAGAAGTTAAACTAGCAACAAAAAAAAATCCAAGTCGATTACATTGATTGATTACGGATTGGATTTTTTTGGAAAGACTGGTTGCCAACACGAGAGGCATTTGGACCACTGCCTTGACATAGATCCTGCTGATGTCTTAAAAGATAATGTTGAAAAGAAAGGACTGACACTTCCTATCGTCGCCAGAGCACCCTAGGGCCTAACCCTATCACCCCAAATAAGAAGTAATTGTAAGTAATTGTAAAGTCTTCAAAAGATATGAAGAAGGAATACGAACATATTGTCGTAAAATGTTGATGATTGAGCCTTCATGTTTTTTGCAATTTGTTCTTCTATTTTACTCATCTCAAGTCAAGAAGTAGAGGAGAAAACCTTTGTTGATAGCTTTAAAGATCCCTAAATCTGTACTAATTCCATAATCGATCATTTTTTGAGTATTGTCTGCACAATTTCTTTGACCGATATCTTGCAAGCATGCAAAATCGAATGATGAATGAGACCACTGATTGAGTTAAAGCAATGAGTTAGTATAATTGATAGACTATTTTGAGTCTCACAAAGCTCATCTATATACCTCAACGAACATAGTACCAGTAGTCTAGCACCTCCGATCACAGTTAACCAAGTTATACAAATCTTGAATCCCTCTCTTGTGAAAATCTATTAAATAGCATAAGTCGTCAATCTTTTGACCGTGGAATCAGATCAATCTTTATGGAAAAAAACTCACAGATAACTATAGCGGCCGAAGTGGCTATAAAATAGGTCATAGATTGGCACTTCCCTGTAAAATGAAAGTCCAAAAGAAACTTTCATCGACAAAGATTGTGACCGGAAACAAGAAGACCGGGGCGGGGCGGTCACAAGTCTCAAAGCTACGGACGAAGCTATATGAGGCTATATGTATGCGCGACTTTTGATCGTTCGATCAAGATCTCAAGTCATTGACATCTCTTCTTAGGCACCATCTTCGCCTCTTTGAAATCAGATCAAATCTATCTGTACCAAAAACCTCTTGGTAAAACCCATGTCAGAGGTAAATCCCGTTCTCTTTCATAGGCGGTTGCGAAAGCTATTAGACTTTTGGCAAGTAAGTCGAATGAATGCCTCTCCTCATGACACAAGAAAACAACTGATGGTGCATGTTAAATACCAGAATGCAACTGCAGGTGACGTCGAGACTCGTCGGTTTCTGAATACCGGCGGGCTTCTGTTTGTCACTGGAGATCAGCATCACCTTTATAGCGACACTCTTACTATACATCGGTATCTCCTAGGAATTGATTTATATTTGACGTTGACCTTCATCACCCCGGAGAAGGTCACCTTTCTCTGCTCGCCACACCAGGCAAAAAAATTGAAGCCTCTAGAAAAGATAAACAAATCATTTGGAGCCGATGTAACAGTGAGCATACTGGTCAAATCAAGTCACCCCGGCCCGACTACAAAGGCAGTAAATAAATTAATTCTAGCGATGGAAAACACGGTTCAAGATGGCAAGAGGTTGGGATCTTGTACAAATGCCATATTCGACCGAGATTACGGGGTCGGTGAAGAGATGTCATTTTATAATCAGCTTTTGGCCTCATTTTGATCTAACTTCACCATGTGTAGGACGATTGGAATGAGTTCTTGAAGAGAACAAAGCAAGTCAGGTCAATCAAACAAACCAATGACGTATCATTTGGGATTTCTGTACTGATGGCAACAAAGGATATGGAGGAGATGGTTTGTCCTCGTTTCTGGATCTCTCCTTGTAAACTTTCTTTGTAACTGAATCAAGGATCAACTCCCTGTGCCACATACAACAGCAACACACAGAAGTTGCAAGTAAAATGACCAGGAAACTTATGGCAATACTTTTTGAACAAGTGCAAAATTTAATCAAAACTGGAAACAAAACGTATGTATTGCCTATTTTTTTAGCATCTGCATTTCTTGGCCATGTGTTATCTGACATACTTAATGCTTGCATTCACCAGGACTCACAAGCAGCTGAGTGCAGTCATCCAGGCTGAACTTCGAAATTCTGACATATGGAAGGGTGGAATTTTTTTACCTAGCGTGGGTCACGTCGTCAATGGCTGTGGAGTCTTCATCAGAAATGCGCATCTGATATTTCATGGTATTGTAGTTTGATAGTGTGCACTCGAGGTGGCGTTATAGACCAACCATACAATCCGGAGGTGCATACAACCTTCGCACTTGGGCACAGTCCACAGCTGAAAGGCTGGATGATACTGGGATCATTTTGGCCAGGTTGGGTATCCGATACAAGTTTTACTGCTCCGATATATCTCGATCAATTATGATTGATCCTCACCCTGTAAGCCATAGCGTTCACCGTTCTTCGACCTTTCTTCACTCTTGGTTTCTCATTGGCTGCCAAATTTTTGCGCTGCTTTAGACACAAGAATCGAATTATAATTATCTCATCCAGCTTCAAAAATTTGCCTTACAAGAGCTGAAGGAAGGTGTCATCGCCAAAAATTTCTACCAGACCATTGTCTCTAAGGTCTCTAGAGAGCGTCCAGATTTGGGATCGTCTTTGCCAGAGTCATTTGGGTTTGGAGTAAGTGGAATCACGTTGACCTTCAATACAATGGACAATTGGATCTTATTCATTGAAAATGTATCAAAATTGGCATATCGTGTAGATTGGAATCGAATCCACAGATCCATTTTTGCGCCTGGACACAAGTTGTCATAGGGTTTTAAAATGCGACATGATATTTTCTTTGGAAATGTCGTTTTCAAGCATCCAAGATCCGTTTGACTCCTCCAAGACGTACTCACTACAGCTGATTGACACAGTAGCTGTCAAACAAGATTCGTCCATCACTCTAAGCGGTGGATTGAAAGCTTTGACCGACATCACTATCTTTTCCAAGAACAAACAGCGAGATGGCGGCACATCGGAGGCTTCAGGTTCCGGGGATATAGACCAGAACGAACTACGTGGTCCAGCTGAAAGACATGCATCACGTCAGGAGAGCAGCATTGCCGCGATCCCTACCTCCAAAACGGGTCAGCTGCAAAACGATGAACAAGTAATTTACAAAAATGATACCGTGCCACAGAATCTTTTTCCAAAGGAAGTCCCAGTATCTAAACAACAAGAGGAGATAGGATCAAGCAACTGCGCTCAAGTCGCCGACGGTATCGAAACAGAAATCTCTGCCAAGGTTAAAAGTTTCGCCATTCCACCTAGAACGTTAGTGAGCTCATATACACCCCAATCCAAACTTATCGGGTCCGATGCATCCGCCTCGCTTCAAACACCACCCACCAAAACTCCCGATTTAAAGTCGTCGACCAGCCTGACGGTTGTGTCAAGTATTGTGAAAGACATCTCTGTCAAACAGGTTGAAAAGCTTGCAGTTCCACCTAAAGCACCAGCAATCCAATCCCAAAATATCGGGTCCAATGTATCCACCTCGCTTCAAACATCATCTGCCAAAACTCTCGATTTGGAGTCTTCGACCAGCCTGGCAGTTCAACCACAAACTCTTGGTTTGACGGCCTCGAAGCATGCCTCTGATCACGGCTTCTCTCAAGCTTTTGGAAAAGACATCTGTGTCAAAGAGGTTGAAAATTCTGCAGTTCTACCGACAACATTAGCGATCCAATCCCAAAATATCGGGTCCGATGTATCCACGTTACTTCAAACATCATCTGCCAAAACTCTTGATTTGGAATCTGCGATCAGCCTGGCAGTCCAACCACAGCCTCTTGGTTTGACGGCCTCGAAGCATGCCTCTGATCATGGCTTCTCTCAAGCTATTCAAAAAGATATCTGTGTCAAACGGGTTGAAAATTCTGCAGTTCTACCGACAACATCAACAATCCAATCCCAAAATCTCAGGCTCGATGCATTCGCATCGCTTCAAATACTACCCACCGAAACTCCCGGTTTGGAGTCGTCAACCATCCTGGCGGTTGAACCCCGACCTCTCGGTTTGACGGCCTCGAGCTTGAAGCGTGCACGATACTCTGATCATGCCTTAAGACCTCTGGGTGAAGTGAAAAAACTCAAGGCCATCGCGATTTCAGACGCAAAGGACCAGACCATAATGGCCAAGAAGCTTGACGGTTTGGACGAAGATACTAAAAAGTGGTATGTTCTTAAGAAAAAGCAGATCTTAAAGAAGTTGCAACAAGATATCATGGAAGAAATGAGTAACCAGACAGGTTTGAACACATCTTGATGCTTTGTCTCTTGATTGTTTGTCTACGATGTCTCTGAACGATTTGTCTCCTAGAAACATGTTCTATCCCGTGATCTCATGTTAGACAAGTCCTTACAGACAAAAAGCTGTCTTGTTTCGATGGTTGTGAAAAAATACTATTTGTTTTTGTATGCTGTATCATTATATAGTCCGGTGTGATTGATTAACTGTGTCGTCATACAGGGTTTGATAGTCTTCTATATCACATCCACTTGTTATATCTATTACACTGGGAGCAAACAAATACCGGAATCCAAATACTCTTCCTTCTACGTTCCCATATCACTGTGAGCTCTCGGTCTAGCCCATGACATACGGATGACCTCTAATGTGTCCAGTCACTTGGGAATATACTGCTATAAACGATCGTCATTTGTGATAATCACAATCGTTAACATGAATTAGTCAACACATTCATTGCAGGCTCTTTATCCCACAATGATGCGATGTGAGCTGATGACCTGCTGAGTTCAAGGCAAGTCAATACTGGTTGTACTACCTTTGCTATCCGTGCATATATAGACTCGCATATCTTGGGAAGCTGATACTATGCAAATGGGACTCAGACAAGCTGTGGATTTCGTAGGCATAGCAAATCAGGGTATCTGATAATTCCTCCGTCCATGCTGACAACTGATGTAGAGAAACATCGGGTGAAAGAATTCCTCAGACATTCATCATGACTATGGCTCGACTGTAACTGACACTCAATTTACTGAACATATCTTCATCCACATCAAAAAATAGTTTACAAGATAAATTTTCTCCGAGAGACACCCATGTTAGGCTAAAAATTCAAAAATTCAAGTCAGTTCAACTTTTCCTTTGACTCAGAACAAGACAAGATAACATACCTTCCATTCGAATTCCACTTCACGATTAGAGTTCCTAACTAGAGTAGTACGATTTTGCACTTGTTTCATATAACTTGAAAGGCCGCCATGTTTACGTGGAAGGTCTGATGTGTCGGGGTCCTCTGAATCTGATCGATCTCCTCTTAAAAACTTTTCCTCCACTCCTGATGAATTCTTGGGTTTACGTTTACGTTTAGCTTTTGTGGTTGTGGTAGAACTAGGTTCGGTTGTGGGGGTCTGAGAGTTCGGGTCTGAAGGGTTTTGAGATGATGAGGTGGCGATTGGCTCTTTCGAGGCTGAGTCGGAGGCTTTTTCGGGAGAAGGGCCAGGTTCAGCAGCCAGTGATTTTGAAGCATTAGATTTTGCTCTACGGCGTCCTGCTCGACTAGCTTCACGTTGTCGCTCAAGTTCTCCTAATTTCTTTTCTTGTCCTTCTTCGCCAGGAAGAACATTCTGGTTCAAAGTACCCGCGAGTGTACCACGTTTAAGCCATCTGATCTTTAATGTGAATCTTGGTCCTATCTCTTGCAATCGAGCACGAATCTTTTCTTCGCCTTCCTTCAAAAACCTGTTTATGCAGAACATCAACTTTAGTACTGGACTACGAACAAGGAGAAGTTCAAGATCGGAACTTACATCTTCTCTCGTTCGGCAAACATATAACGAAATCGACGAAAGAAGATGAAATCACGTTGATTCTGTACACTCACAACTTGTCTACCCTCAAGTTGCGGTAGAGCTGGAAAGACTGATTGAAGTAGAGTCCCAATACTCAAACCAAGTGGAGTTGAGAAATTAGATAAGACGAGTTCGGGTGAGTGGGAAGTTGGTTTGGCGTGTCCTGGGATAGCTTTACTGGGCACTATACTCGTGAGTCTGAAGTAGGCTGTCGGTCCGTATGGGAGTCGGCAGACGGTCATATGGGCTGTTTTTTTGTGACCATGCAATACAGAAGCGACAAAAGATCAGCAACGGCTAGAAATTACAGACGGATTAGGAGCATAAAGACTTGTAGTCAAGAAACTGACTAGGGCCACTGCGATTTCTTCCCCCATGTGCTTCACCAATGACAACCATACTACTATAACCTCGCTCAATAGCCCATTTACAAACTCGACTAAGTTCGAATCTTTTGGTTTTTCTAGGTATCACATCGGCGCGGTGCTTTCCACCGAATAGGTTGGCCAGTTCGTGAATGAAGGCCTGGGTGAATAGAGAAGGTCTAGGGGAGGTAGTGATGAGTACTCGGTTCTCTTTGGGAGTTGACGCCGATTCGTCTTCAAAATTCTCTTCAAGGTCTGGCTCTGCTGTGGGATCTTGAGCTTCGGGTTCGGTGAGAGCCTCACTTGCGTTTTGATTGTTGTAGGGTTCGAATAAGTCGGCTAATCTACCCATATCAAGTTTGATTTCCTCGTATCCTTCCTGATTCTCATCCCCCATTTCTACCTTCACAGGCATCAATCTTTCATCTTCACGTTGATCTCCAAGCCATTCTCTCGTATTTTCAATCGTTCTTGGTATATTCTCTTTGAGTCTTTTAACTTTTAAGGACGGATCTGCTGCTTCTGCTTTCTTACGTGCCACTCGTTCGCTCAATTTAGCTTGAAGCTTGTCATGCCTTAATCGTTGTAATACTTTTGATCGTTGTGCCTTGTTGGCTATCTGAGAAGCATTTCCGATGACCACCATATTTGGAGATTGATGTGATTTGATATCTTATGAGGCCGGATTAGATCGAGGTGTGATGGTTGGGTTGATTTGCATTGATGGATGGCAAATGCTGAGATGTGTCGTGAAAAAAAGTCTTTGAGGGACGAAATTTTACACAAAAACCTCAGCATGTATGGGTTTACATGAGCTACACTAGAGCTACATAGAAACAGCTACAGGTGCAGCTGATATCGCCAGCTTGAAACTCGAAGCGGTTTAGGTCAACTTTGGGACACGTTTAACCATTAGAGCATCCGCACTCGTTTGCGGTTGTTAACTTGGTCATGTGCGGTAACAACCTCTACATTAAGTAAAAAATTACTTAACGTGACCAAATTTCACACTCGTGCCAAAATTACCTGCACGGTAGTTAACTAACTTGAGAGGTAATTTGAGTTTCCACACTGATGCAGAGTTTACAGACTCAAAATATACCAAACAAAAAAATCAATCGACTTTTCAGTCAATCAGTGCATTTCAAGCGATCCCTGCCAGGGAAGAAGAGCTTTGGGACAGGGAAGTTCATTTGAGAGTAACTTGAGATCTCATCACCACTGGATGGTTGGCACAGAGAGGTTTGTAGACAAGCAAACAAAAATTCATTGCACCATCAATTAAAAGTTGTCATGTTGAAGACCATTGAGAATTTGAAAAGAAATGCAGATAATGAAGACCCTTTTGCATAGTTCCCCTCTACAGTTGAATGTGATATCTATTTTTCAAATCCTTTTGAAGTCAATCCAAACGACAAGACATGTTCAAAACCTTCTAAAATCAAAACAAACGATCAGAAATTGATCCACTTTGATCTAAAACCCTTTTAAACCCAATTCGATATTGATAAATCCAAAATCTCAATGAACATATATATAATCACATGTAAAGTAGAACAATCTTAATCAATGTTGGATAAAGAGAATCATACAGTAAGAAACCAGACATACCCATTAGTTTGATGAATTAGAAGACAGTCGGGTCTCCATTGATTCTTAAGTCGGGTGTTTTGAGTCGAGAGGAATCAAGAGGAGTTGAGTTGGAGTTGAGTCAAGTTGGCAAGTTGGCAAGTTGGTGTGCTTGAGAAGTGAAGAGGGGGCTGGTAATTTGGCTACCACATGCGTTAGCCAATCGGTAAATTTACCGATTCGCTAACGCAAATCGATCAAAAGTTAACTACCGCGGGCCTAATTTCTCACCAGTGTGGGAAAGGCCCCGCAGTTGCGGTAAATTTTACCTTACCGCACGCGATTTACCGCACGAGTGCGGATGCTCTTAGAGCATCCACTATGTTGAGGGTGTTTTATCGTAAATTTTGCGGTCCTGATCGCAAAATTTAATCATGCGTGTTGTAGCTAAGTTGTTAACCGCATGAAATCCACTATGGGATGATGTAACGTAGGATTTAACTACGATAATCTGTTCTTAGAACACTATACACGCTATGGCAAAGTCGAGACTCGAATTGAAGTATCTTACCACGCCTCACCCAGCTCACTTCTATGATGATGACTACCTTGGTAGCCAGAAAGAACCAAAATGATGGCTTCAGGTGTTGACAATGAGCATCGAGCTTTCTCACATCTTGCTCGATCTTGGTGAAATCAATCGCACGGAATCACTTTTTTTAAAACAAAATGCGTTTTTTTTAGCAAATTCAGAGTAAACAGCTACCATCAACAAGCTGTGATTTTGAGGGACGAGGGAAGATTTTGATTGAAGGTGGTGAGTGCAGAGTGGGATGGATACAGATAGATCATTTGATGGCTGTTGACCGATTTGATGCGCCAAAAGTCTACGATAAATCAAGTCGTAGGCTTGCGTAGATTTGAACAAGGGGAGTGCAAGATTTGACGCAGTCGTACGGACCGCATGTCTAAAACAGGTCCATAGTAGACCTGTCTGGATTTTAGCGTTATTCTAACGCTAAATCACATCGTTAACGCACCCATAGTGGATGCTCTTATGGCGGTTCAAGTCAGATTTTGCGTACACTCTGCCGCATACTGACGGACACTAATTTTAAGGGTGCGACAGCCTTAAGATTTGCGTTTGCAGAGTTTTTTAAGCCTTAAAATCGACTTTTACGGGCTTATAAATCCAGGGCGAATTGCAAACAAGGCATCTTTCGCCCTGATTTTGTTCGATTTGATGCCCCGTGGTGGTGGCCTTTTTTGAAATAAATGAATATTTTGTGATCGATTATGTTAATTTAATTGTTTCATCTGCTGAGCGTGTGTGCTGGGGGTGGTGTGACTCCGTCTGACATTTCCTCCCCCAACTCACTCACTCACTTGCTTGGCCATTCCCTTCTTCGTCAGCTCCGAATTCCAAATCATCAGCACCGAAATACCTCTTTACCCTAAACACCTGATTCCTCTCCAGCGGATCATGCCTCGCGTATCAGACCGAGTTACCACAATCAGAGACCTTACCAATCTATGCATTTTTGCTCATATGAATGCACCTTCGAACATGCCCGGACATGATTTCAACGAAATTGACCCTAGCGACGGACAAATCCTATTCCCACATAACACCATCATGGCGACCTTGTACAACGAGCTATTTGACAAGGAAGAACAGTGGGGTGACATGCTATCTATTGTCACCTCCAGTCGGTACCTTCAGCCGCGCCTGCGGGTGTCACTAGGAAATCCTTTCGACCTTCGGGATATGTTACACACGAGGCGAACTGACTTTCGCCAAGCTATGAGAACTACACCGGAAGGTTTCCGTGCGCTGTTGGCCATGATTATTTCCGACCCGATCTTCATATCACAAAGCAACAATCCACAACCACCTGTGGAACATCAATTGGCCATAACTCTTGAACGCCTTGGCAGCAATGGGAATGGCGCTTCCGTCGGTCGCTTGGCTAGAAACTACAAAGTGGCGCGTGGGTCCGTGGTAAACTGTACGCGTAGAGTTATCGAAGCTATTCTGAAAGCAGGTGCTCACTATGTCAAATGGCCAAATTCAGACAGACGAAAGGCGATCTCGAAGGTTTTGGAGCGCGACGGATTCCCTGGTTGCGTGGGGTTTGTAGATGGCACAACTATCCCCCTATTCCAACGGCCAGGGCGGGATGGCGAAGTGTTCTTCGACCGCAAACACCGCTACTCAATTAACATCCAGATCGTGTGTGACTGTGATCGTCGAATTACCTACGCCTATGGAGGATGGCCCGGTTCGTGCTGTGACAGCACGGTGTACTCAAAAACTGACATTTTTGACAAACCTCATAAGTATTTTGATAAAGGTCAGCTTGCATGTAAACTCGCTGGTCAGAAAGTACATCACTAACATGTTTTTGATGTAGGCAAATACATAATTGCCGACTCCGCGTACATTCCTTCTGAAACGGTGGTTCCTTCGTATAAAGGGCAGGCAGCGGAGGTCGAGCGAAACAAACAGTTTAATTGGTGTGTAGCCAAGGCGAGGGTCCGCAACGAGCACTCGATTGGCATTCTGAAATCGCGCTGGGCGTCACTGCAAGGCCTGCGACTGGCTTTGAATGAGCGAGAAGACATGTATCACATGCTGCGATGGGTCCGTTGTTGCATCATCCTCCATAATATGCTTGCAGACCTTGGAAACGCATGGGAGGATGAAGCAGGTGAGCTAGCCTTTGTGGAGCCAGGGGAGGCGGAGCAAGCTAGGTTTCGGGAAGTGGTTTCGGACAATCTGATGATGGAACGAGGAAGGGCAAAGCGTGAGTCAGTTCGGGATCACGCGGTAGCCTACAACTGGGAGAGTGGTGGCCTCCCCATCGTTCAATGAGGCTTTCACTGTTTCGAATCGTCCTACGTTGTTTTGTTTCGGTCAACTGTTCCTTTTGGTCTTTGTCATGTATCTTTCTTTCTCTTCTTGGTGTTCTATCTGTTGTAACTTCCTGTCAAACGGTGGTTTCGTTGAAATAATATTTAAGTTATCAGTTACCCGTTCTTGACACACTTGACGCGCAAAAAATTCTTTCACCTCAAAAAGTCGGTGTCCTGATCAGAGTTGAAATGATTTCAAGAATCTTCATCTATCTTCATCTTAAGCACTACAGGGTTCCCGTTTGAAAGTGTCAATGTGTTCCCGTTTGATTACTTTGCTTAAGTAAAATGGGTTCCCGTTTGATTGCTTTGCTTAAGCACTTTCACTTATTAAAGGGACTAAAAAATGATATTCCACACTCGACATGTACCAAATCATCCGTGCAACATCTTGGTAACTCTTGTATGGAAGATATAGAGGCAGAAATACATATACAAATTACAAAATATGGCTAACCGGACAAATTAAGAAAAAAAATGACATCTTTTGTGTATCGAAACTAACAGAGGAGAAGGGAAAGCACAAACGACTGTTCAACAGAATTGGGGCACCTACACAGATCTCAGACATCACATATAAGGAAAGGACCACAATCGAGCGCGGTCAAGGGCTATAACATCGAAACAAAATCATATCCATCAGTATCTGATCGATTTGACCAACAAGATGCGCATGAGAGACCACTAACTTATCACCGGAAGGTTCGCCATGGTTACAAAGGGTCCGGATAGACCAGTTTGAGATAGGCCTCAAGCTCTTGGGGGGTCTTCCCTTCAAGAACCAACTTTTCGCAAAAGGCTTTGCGCTCGTTCCTGGTGACAAGTGCCAGTCGATTTCGCTTGTCTTCACGTTCCAAAAAGAATCTTTCTTTGGCCCAATTAAGATCAGATTGACGAGCCTGGATTTCGGCATGCTGTTTGGCAGCATCGAACTGTTGACGCCACTCGTTGGCTGAACGCAACATCTCGATTTTGGCGGTGTTGCCCAATTGCATCGCAGTCGCCACCGGGTGCTTGTAGTCTTTCCCTCGCACAGTTGAGGGATCAATCGAAGGAAGAGGGTCGACAGCACGGCGAGCCAAAGTGGCGCGGCTTGAACCGTGTGCTTGGGTTGACGTCAACGCGTTGCGAGATGCCTTGGCGGATGGTACCTCATCTTCTGACGACGAATCCAGGAGCCGTTCCTCCGGGGTCAGATCATACTTTTTCATACTTTTGCGTTTGCCAGTTTGATTACTACTG